GTCAGGGCGGCTAGGATCTGGAACCAACTTCCAAGTGAAGTGGTGCTGGCTTCTACCCTGGGGGTCTTTAAGAGGAGGCTGGATGTACACCTCGCCAGGGTTGTTTGACCCCAGTACTCTTTCCTGCCATGGCAGGGGGTCGGACTTGATGATCTGCTCAGGTCCCTTCCGACCCTACTAACGATGAAACCAAACTGGGGCTTAATTACCTGGAGTGAACCCAGGGAAGCTATTAATCTATGTTTAGTGATGCATGGATTAATTGCTTCCCTGGGCTTAATCAGGATAATTAAGCCATGGTTTGAGGCGATCCCCAAGCAAATGGCTGCACAGGACTCCACCAAGCCCCAGCCCAGCTCCTTGCTGGTAGTGAGTGCACACATGCCTCGGGGCCACCAGTGGGGAAGAGGCTCGGGGCAGCTTCAGCCCCTTCACCGCCATCATCCCTGAGGTACCTGTGCACCCACTGCCGGCCAAACCAGGGCTTTGTGGCGCCCGGTGCAGTTGCTTGCAGCTTCCTGGCTGCCTGCCACAACTGGCCCGGGCCCAGGCAAGCCCCCATGGGCTGCTTGTAGCCTCCCTGCTGGTGCTTCCCCCCCGCCCTTCGCTCCGCTAAGCTCCAGGGCTTCCCTTGCTTTCTGGTAAGGCGTTTTTTTGCGAGCCCTCAATATTTTGTGGAGCCCACCGTTTGTTGCTGAAAATGCCCAATTTCACATCTTCCCCAGAAATTGCACAATTGTGCTTTCAGTAAGTCCCTACCAATAGACTAACACCAGAGCAGGGTCAGGCCCCAAGTGAACCGAGGTTGAGATTTGGAACTGGAGACCTGAGAGAGCAGAAGCCAAGGCAAGGCAAGACCAGGGGACCAGGAGCTAGTAGAGCCTGCGGGCCTGATAAAAAGAGACTGAGCAAGACCTGGGAGGCATGGACATGGCGACAGGTCCATGGTTGGAGGCCACGACTAGGGCCAGAGAGAGCAGAGAGGAAGCACCAGAGGCTGAGACTGGTCTGAGAAGAGCACCACCAGACTCCCTTTTAAGACTCAAGGGCAACTTCCCCTAAAGTAGACGTGCTGATAGTTTACAGGGAGCAAGCGGGGTAGAATAGCATCACACTTAAGTACTTAATCAAATTAGGCGCCTAATAAGAAGAATAGGCTCTGACCCCAGGCTTAGTCTGCAACGTGCATATGTATTGCTGAACGTGTATGTAAATTATACTTTGTTATAAAACTCTCTCTTCCTGAACGTTATTGCGATCTACATTTTGAATCCTGCTGTAGAACTGGAATCTACAATAATTTGTGCTTTTCTTCCAGAACTAATTCTTTGCGCCTGTTGTGTGGCTTCTTACTCTTTTAAGACATCATTTACGGTTAATTCTCTAGGAAAATTTGTTCTGTTTACCACGCTTCCTTCAGCAAGGTAGCAGGAGAAATGGGATGGAGCATTCTCTCAAAGTGTTGTTCATTTGTATTGTAATCAAGCAGCGAGCTGAATAGTAGAGGTGCACCGATATATCGGTTGGATATCAGATGGGCACTGATAAAAGGGAGATGACATTATTGGCCATCAGCTTTTTTTGCCTGTTGTAGCCAGTAATCTTTACCGATAATTATGCTGTATAACCAGGGCTCCAGATGCCTGGGTTCCCTCCTGTGAGCTGGGGTCACCTTGAGTGCAGAGGTCACCCTGATCTGCATGCAGGGGCCCAAGCCATTTTCCATCCCCACCCCATCCCCTCACCAGGGGCCAGGCCGAGCTGGAGCGGAGCAGCTGGCATGGTGTGGACTGTGGGCTGGGGCCAGGGTGGGTGCTGTAAAAGGTGGCAAGTGCTGCAGAGACATGACGGGCCCAGCCCAGCCTGGCGTGACTCAGCCCACAGTGCCCAGGGGTTCGTGCCCCAGGGGCCGGGACAGAGCTTGGCAGGGGCTGCGGCAGCTGCTACCTACTGCTCTGCAGCAGGGTCTTCCCAAAGCCCCACCATTTTTAAGCATGGGGATGCTGGTACATGAGACACAGGAGGCTGCAGGAGCTCATCAAAAAAAAAAAAAAAAAAAAAAAAAAAAAAAAAAAAAAAAAAAAAAAAAAAAAAAAAAGATTTATTTATGTCAGTAGTTTAAGATGTCTTGCATTACTACACATATCAGTTATCAGACTGGCATTGGCCAATATGGTTGGTTAATCATCAGCTGTCGATATCGACCAAGAAAATCTTTATCGGTACACCTGTTCTTGATCAGGTCAAGGAAAACTTAATGACTGAAAAGTAATTTGAAGGAAATTCTTGTATACCTCCTGGGGTACTGCATGTCAAGACCTTTAAATAATGTATAACAGTCTCTTATATGTGCATGCGGGTAACAACAGTACTCGGTCTCCACCTTGAGTATGAGTAACAGCAAAAGAGCCAGCAAGCTCTTCGCACTTCCCAGCAAGGACAGATGGCAAAATTCTCACTTCCACCAAAAGGACAAAAAGTGGGAACTTGCCTCTTGCTAGTGGCACAGTCAGTCCCAGTGGCAGAGGGTAATGAACAGAATCGAGTTTTGTGAATTCCTAAAGCACTTGGAAAATAATCCTCCTGCTCTTCATGCTCAACATGGGGTGTTCTGGGAATTTACAATGCAAGAAAAGTATATGGGTGAATACTGGGGAAGTGACAGCCACCAGCCTGAGCCCATCATGAGCTTGCTGAAGATAACGACTTATTGAACAGGATGACTTTTGTGCTGTCTTACAGAGCTCCTAAAGCAGGAGTTTTCAGCCAGCGTACCATGGCACCCTGGGGTGCCTTGAGATCCTTTCAAGGGAGTCATGCAGTGCCACAAATTGTTCGGTGTACAATTGTGATTCGCAAAATAAACCCAGAGATTGGCAACAGAAATCCCTAGTTGTGGTCTTTCTGAGCTCTTTGTAACAGATGAACTGCTGTACTAGTTCTCACTTTCATTATTTCTGTAGTCAAAAAAGAAAAAAGCTGACACTTCCTTAGGGGGAGCAGAGTCTCTCTAGGGGTGCCTCGCGTCTAAAAAAAGATTGAGAACTGCTGTGCTGAAAGAAGCAGGGTATGTTCTGTTGCCTGCACAGCTCCTGGTACTCAATCGGATCCTTCTCTCACCCTGGCTCCTGAGCCTGGCCTGCTCCCACGGATTGCATGCCTACCTGTCAAAAGCTCATCTCATTGCTGACTCTTACATTTCTGAGGCCAAAGTTTGGATTTTAATGGATCCTAAGTAGCCATGCTGAAAGGGCAAAAAGCAATCCAGTTATGGTCCTCTTTTAAACTGCAGCCAGGAAATTTAAAATCTAGGTTAATTTCCCCTTTTTTTTATAAAAGAGAATTTTTGGGGCTGGTTTTGAGAGAGCAGAAAACTGGAGCGATGCTAAAGTTGAAGTTACTCAGTGATAAGTACATTTCTCAAGGCCTGAGTACCACCCTCAGACTCAGCATATGCCTGAGGATGCACTCATCATCACCAACAGAGTTTCATCTAGCCTGAAGTCATTTCAGGAAACGCAGGGAAAGACTAAATTAGTTCATAATATCTCAACCTGGTTTTTTTTTTTTCTCTTTTAAAACAGCTAGTTAAAGGTCTTCAGCAGGAGCTGAACCGCCTATATACTCTCTTCTGTTCTCGGAACCCAGAATTTGAAGAAAAAGGAGGGAAGGTCTCAATTGTGTCCCATTCCCTAGGATGTGTAATCACTTATGACATAATGACTGGCTGGAATCCAGTTAGACTTTATGAACAGTTACTACAGAGGGAGGAGGAAGAGGAGCTTGAAGACCGCTGGATGAGCTACGAGGAGCAGCATTTGATTGAAGAACTTTACATAACTAAGCAACGGTAAAGTATGCACATTCTCATGATTAAGGAGCAATCTCCATCTCCCAGTGAAACTCTTTAGGAGTTTCCCACATCCACCATTGCCAATGCCAGTCATGCCCAGTGACTGCTGCTGTTCTGCTGGCATTGAATGGCAGTGGTAAGTGCTAACTTTATAACTGCAGGGGCTGATACATGAGGGGAGCAGGGACTGGAGCTCCCAGCCAGCTTGCTGCTGCTGGCCACCTCTGGCTTTGGTTTCATTGCTGGACTGAAGGAGAGATCACTTCCAGAAAGCAAGGCTGAGTCTTAACTGTCTTGGGTTAGGGGTGATTCTGTACTTGCATTCAACAAAGTAGCTTTTCAGTTTCCGGGGAGGCCACATGCTGCCCATCTCTGAGGTGGGAGCAGGGATTCAATAGTTGGAACTGGGAGCTGAGCTGTAAGTGTCCCCAGTATCCAGCATTTATCTGCTTGTTTTCTAAAGGAGAGTAAGTTTTCTGAGCATATCCAGGACTCGGATGGAAGTTATCCACCTCTCTCTGCTGCCTTTGTTCAGCCAGAAATTTTAGCGTTGTGTTGCTTACAAATTCTGAGCATGGAAGTAAGTGAGGGTTACGGATGTTGGTCAGGGTCTTCAGTGGCAGGGAGACCCTTCAGGTCTGATGAGGACAGCTCGGGAGGGTCAATTGACCCTCCTTCCCAAAAAGCCCAGGGGGCTGTAAGGCAAGCGATGAGGGCACCTATCAGATTGCCAGATACTCCATTACCAGTGTCTGGACTTCTAAAAAGATTTGAGGCAGAAGCTACATAGGATGAAGCCTTTTACTGTGTAAGGTGTGTAATTTTGTTCGTGACTGGGTGCTGTCTGACTCTACCAGCTGCAAGACACTATAACCTGATCTCTTAATAATGTGACCCACCTGAGGGAATGTAAAATAGAATACCAAACTTTGCAGCCCTGATGCCCCCCTTTCACCTGTTGTTAGGATTTGGTGGGTGAAACCTCAAATCCTAACACTCTGCTCCAGTAGCCCAGCCAGGAGCAAACATGCTGCAGGGTTTCGCAGGTCAATCCAAGTGATAAATCTAACGTATGCATTGATGAATAAAGAGAAGAGTCTTTCTTTTGCTTTGTGAGTTGTGCAGTTCAGTTTGACGCTATTGTGAACGCTCCTCTGAAATAAGCAATTGCATTCTGTAACTTTTGAATTTCAAAGATTGTAGTCTTACTAAAGTTATCGCTGGGCTTTTGAAAATGCTTGTGTCTGGAGTAGTTTGTTTGATTCTGTTCTTAAATGTTCTAAATTGTACTGGAGTCTTTAGCTTCCCGTTTGTAGCATACATGCTTACAATATTGGATACCTCTCATTATGAAATGAGCTGTCTTGAGCAGAGGGAGAGATCAGTCCATATCATTATGTCTCTATCACCTTATGGTGCAGTAATACCTCTTAAAACACAGGGCTGTCTCAGGAGTCTTGCTTATAGAAAGTGCCCAATCTCATACCATATTTACCCAAATCCAAGATGACTCCGAATTTAAGCCAGCCCTTCAGTAATTGGATTCTAGACATGGAAAATGTATGTTGGTTATAATTTTCCATGTCTAGAATCTAATTAACGAAGAGTCTTCTTAAATTCAGCTCCCCCCTCCCCCCCCAGCCCTGCTACAGCAGAGGGGGTTGGTGAGGGTGAGTGAAGTGACCGACCCCAACCCCTTGCTTTCCTTCCTCCCACAATTTGCCCACTGCCGCCTGCCTCCTCCGGCCACAGGTCAGAGCTGGACCCATGGCCTGAGTTGCCATTACCACTGTCACTGCTGCTTGGCTTGGCAGGGGCTGGAGCCGCCATGTGCTCCACGACCCGGGTCAGAGCAGGGCCACAGCCAGAGGTGCAGCTGAGGCTAAGCAGCAGTGGAGAGGCAAAGGGCAGAGGAGGCTGTAGGGGGCACATGGTGGGGGGGGGGCAACAGCTGTGGCTCTGACTCCAAGCCACTCCAACTCCCCCACCCCATTCTTAAATCCAAAAATGAGGGGCTTTTCTCCATATATTGAATGGGGGGGTGCAGCCTCATCTTGGATTTGAGTAAATACGGTGCATATGTTTTGCCTGGATGACACAAAGCACAGAAGGTCTGTTGTACCTCTTATTTGTTCCAGAATAGTTGGAAATAAAATCAGTTACTATTTAGTGTTGTGCTGCAAGGGCTAACAATAACAAAGCAGTCTTTACTGATGCTGTGGGGTGTGACGGCCACCTTTCAGTCAAGATAATGAGAGGACACGATCTCTACTTAGCGATAGTTGAAATCATGGCAGACCCCCTTTTAAGGGCTAGACAAGCATCCCTGCATAGTGTCAGGGCCATACGGTCCAAAGGGTTTCTCCAGGATCTGCTACCAATGGGGGTGGGGAATTGGCTTGAGTGCATCTATGTCTGCAGTGTGAGGGGAGCAGAAAAACACCATAGAAGGCAGCCAGAAAACCAAGATAGGCAGAAACACACTTCTAGCGTGACCCCAGGAGAAGCTGAGAGTGAGCACTTCTGCATAAAGTGGTATCTGGAAGGAGGCTTGGGACTGGAAAGGATACAGTCTCCTGCTGTGTGATCACTGATCATTCCTGTCTTCAGGGAAACTGGACGTTATGTACATTCTTCCTAAATAAACAGGCTTGCAAAAAAAGAAATCCTCGACTCCATCATCAATTTCTCCTGCTAACGCAACCGCAAAGACCCCCAAATTGCCTAACAGACTGGCTCAAAAGGGGTAACCCTCCACTTTTGTACAGACTATACCTAAGAAAGAAACCCCTTTTTTTCTAGATTGAGAGAGATAGAAGAGAGGTTACATGGATTGAAAGCATCGAGCATATCCATTTCAAAAGTACCTGCCTTAAAATTTAAGGTATGTATGCCCAAGAAAGATGTTTATTGAATGAATGTTGCAGTTTCTGTAAAGGTTTGCTTTCGATGGCATACTCCGCTTGGACTTTGGTTTTCCTCCTTCCAGAAAGGTTATTTTAGTGCAATTTGTTTCATATTTTGTTACGTAAGAGTATTATTAGATATTTGCCCATGTAATTTCTGTGCATTAGTGCAAAATTTATAACGTATATATGAATATATGTAACTTTTGTGCATTATGTTAATACCGCATGCATATTTCACCCACATGTGGTGGTGACATTCATTTCTTAAACTACATGCATCGTGCACCTTTGATAGTTCAGCCCTTACTCTGCCATTTAATCCACCTCTGAACAACTTCAGGCCAGGCTGAATTTCCTCTGAAGTGGCATTTTTCTCCCAAATTACACTGACCTAAACTACACAGAGCAAAGGTTTTGCTCTCAAGCAATGGACAGCCATTGTCTGATATTTCGGAAAGGGCTGGTAACTGGAGCTTTATATCACTGGAAAGAGGAGAGTTTCGGTTCTCTGATGAGATGCACTTGTTAATAGTTGTTCAGTGTCTTGGGATACTGGACCTTTTAAAATGTGACCCATT